TGTGAGAGCATGTGTGTGTGTGAGTGTGTGTGTGAGAGAGTGTTGCGTGTGTGTGTGTGTGAGCATGTGTGTGTGTGAGCGTGTGTGTGTGAGAAAGAGTGTTGCGTGTGTGTGTGTGAGAGCATGTGTGTGTGTGAGTGTGTGTGTGAGAGAGTGTTGCGTGTGTGTGTGTGTGTGAGTGTGTGCAATTCCTTAGATGCGGGTATGTGTGTGACGTTGCAGAGCGTTGTGTTGTACAGTCCTAAGAACTGCAGCGGCCTCTTCAGCTCCTGAAACGGGTAAATGCTGCTCTTACACGGCTCGATGCTGTAAAACACACAAACACACACGCTCAGACAAACACAGAGGGAGTGGCGCGTGATGGATGTGTGTGTGTGTGTGTGTGTCCTCACCTCGGCCGGCCCACAACGTCCTCAAGCGCCGGCACCGTGCAGTTATCCAGCATGATGTGTCCAGAGATGTCCAGAGACACCAGATCGACCAAACTCTGAACGATACTGCTCAAGGTCTTCCTCGTCATCTTGAATTTAGACGTTCTCTGATTCTCTCGCGAGATATCCAGGTGTCTGCAGACAGAACGGACGACACAGATCGCTGCTCTGTTCTATAAACACTACCAGACAAACGCTTGGAATAATCACAATCTCTTCTGCTCACCAAGCCTGCATTTATTTGATCAAAAATACAATAAAAAGTAATCTTGTGAAATATTAATGATGCAATTTAAATCAACTGTTTTATATGTGAATATTTGTTAAAAATTTAATTGATTTCTGAGATCAAAGCTGAATTTTCAGCAACATTACTCCAGTCTTCAGAGTCACGTGATCCTTCAGAAACAAGGACGCATTAAATTGATCAACAGTGACAGTAAAGACATTTATAATGTTACAAAAGAGTTCTATTTCAAATAAATGCTGTTCTTTTGAACTTTCTATTCATCTGTGAATCCCGAAAAATAAAATGCATCAGTTTCCACAAAAATATTGTGCAGCACGACTGTTTTCAGCATTGATAATAATCAGAAATGTTTCTTGAGCAGCAAATCAGTATATTAGAATGATTTCTGAAGATCATGTGACACTGAAGACTGGAGTAATGATGCTGAAAATACAGCTGCGCATCACAGAAATACATTACAGTTTAACAGATATTCACACAGAAAACAGCTAGTTTACATTAGAATAACATTTCACTATTTTTAAGTATTTCTGATCAAATAAATGCAGCCTCGGTGAGCAGAAGAGACTTCATTCAGAAACATTAAACACTGTATTTATTCCAGTCTTTAAGCGCTAGTGTAAACGTCTCTCTCTGACCTCAGTCTGCTCATCTGCAGCAGCGTGTGGATCAGCTCCTCCGTCAGCTCCACGTTATACAGCACCAGAGACGCCAGTCGCTCGCTCCACTGTGTGAGGAAGGCCGGTCGAGGCAGATGGACGGACGACAGGTCCAGCGAGGTCAGAGCGAGCAGCGGCCGCAGCAGCGTCTCCACGTCCAGTTCCGCCCGAAGGCCTCCCAGGTTCAGCAGACGCAGACGGTTGAAGCCCTAGGGTTGTGACGGTGAGGACATTTTCATTTTGAGTTTTCCCTACTTTCCCCACTTTCCTTCGCTTTTAAACGTCAAAACTCTCTTAGCCTATATGTAATCATAGAACATC